AATAAATAATTTTTAATAACACAAGCGCCTATGACCTAATGACCCGGGGCGCTTACTAGCCACTCTGTTAAATAAATTACATTAAACACTTATAACTAACCTTAAATTTTTCGCTCAAACTCTTTAAATAGCACACTAGCCTATTACATAGATGCTTGGGTCAATAAAAAAAGTAGGATATTACACCAACCTGGTATTACAAAAACGCGCTTAATAGTTTTTAGATAGTCTTCGATACATTTTATGACGGTTCAGGTATCACTTTATCTCACCCAAAAAAACACTCTAGTAGAAAATGTTAGAAAAATTTGCTTTCACTTTTAGACAGATTTTTAGTGATCTGCTCTAATGTGCAGTGATGGTATTAAAATTAATAATATTCAGAATCAAGGTACTTGACTCAACACACAAACAAAATTTGCAAGGTGTAAAATTTATTAAAATAACAAACATTGTTTTCAGAATTCAGTTTTTTTAGTTATCTGTCTTCATTTCACAATCTTAACATCAAAAACTATTTGCAATTGTTTATAATTTTGGTGAAATAGTTGTTTAATTATAATAAATTTGTATATTCTAGCTTCAAATGGCTTTCAGTCTTTCTTTATATAATTTCTCAGACTTTAAAAAAACTTTCACTATAACTAATTTCCATTAAATAATTTGTCCTTTTACGATAGTCAATATTTTTATTGCTCTACTGATCATCTAAGGAAAAAAACAACGAATAACATGTACTCTTTTTGAATAAAATTTTAATTACGTCTTCACGATTTAACGTTGTTACAAATAAGTCGAGGGAAAACGATTTAAAGTGATTTGAAGTAGATACCCAATGTCAATTAAAGTGTACGATTTACAAACATAAGTCCTTTAAAACTTAATGTTCCGAGCAAGTACTAATACTAATCTCATGTCTTGGTACATCGTACTATAAATATATATATAGTCATCACACTACTTATAATCACAATCTGAACTTAGGATGAAAAATAGTTTAAACACAGATTTTTACAGGGTACCTATTTATGATCTTGCGTTGAAAAGAGAACCTAAAGTAACAACAAAACAATAATCAGTCCTTAAAAAATTATCTTAACGGTGAAGAAATAAGTATCATAACACGGAGTTCGTCAAAAATTATCACTTAGTACTTGAAAACGAATCTGTAAAAAAGACTATTTCTCTTTTAATCTTTAAGTACGGTAGTTATAGGTTGCTTTCAAGATAATTCAAATTATAGTTTTAGTATCAAAATAAATTTTGTAAGCTCCACTTATTTTACTAGGTAAATAAATTGTTAATTTTACTTACCATTAGGCTGAACCCAGCCATGCATTTCCGCAAGTAAATTTTGCCACACAAATATTTTTTCATAATTTTTTTTTATAAGTTCTTCTTTTCGAGTCAATTCAAATTTTAAATCTGTAATATCTTCTTTGACAACAAGTTCTGGCTTAAGAGCAGACAGAAGAAAACGTTTTTGTAAGAAAAAAGCCTCAACTTGGCGAGCCAGATCAATAAATCTCAAAGTCACTTGATCAACTTCAATCTTAGTATCATCTTTTCCAATCATTACTTCAATGCTTGTATATTCCGACCCATCATCTTTATTGAATAAACCTAAGCATTGCTGTTTAAACATACGTATCAATGAAATATTTTTACTATAATAGCAGTAAATCAGTAATGTATTCAAAATTGATATGGAAAAATAATAATTTACAATACATACTGTATGAGTTAGAGTACTGAGAATTATTTTTTAAGACTGTTTCATTTTATTTAGGGTCATATTCAAAATTGACACTAAACACTGTCTAATGCATATTTACATGTGTGCAATAGTTCAATATGTAAAACTAATAAATTAATGTGTACATCTTAAAACATAAATGTAAATGAAGATACGCCAGCAACCTTTTAATCAAGGTTTACTGCAGTGCTACCACAACTAAGCCATTGGTCAGGAAGAACCATTAAGATGTAGCTCTTTTGATTTGCAGAGGTGTGGAAGTTTGAAAAAGAAATTCAGATGGCTTAGGCATTACGTGCCACGCCGTAACACGCTGAATGACGTATAAATATTTATTAAAAGAGTAGGGTTAATTTCCTAAAATTATTTATCTTAGTCACATCTTTAAATATACGTACTGCAATTACTTTAAAAATCATAAAATATTGTTAAAAACGAAAATAAGACTTCCTTATTGTTTTCTACACATATGTACTAAACATCAGATCACTTTTTTCTAAATTTTTTTTTTTTTGGTTTAATTTAGTCAACAAAATATTTTCTAATACCAATACTAACAGATTTATTACAATAAACAGGTTGTATATAAATTTTATTACTTGCGGTCTATTGTGTACTTCCAGAGTTCTGGTCGATTTCTTGACGATTCCCACACAAGTGTAGCTATTAAATCGATTTTTCGGAAGAAACAATCCCATGAATAATTGGATTAGGTAAAAAGTGATTTCAATTTTTTTTTTATTTGCAAAGTGAATCTGTTTATATGAATTTCAAACACTAATCAACAATATATGTGCCGTTTTGATCGATGACCTTTTGCCACTTTTTTAGTAGAACCATAATTACGTTCTCATAGAACTTCTAAGGTTTTTTAATAAAAAACTGAATCAAGTGATGAAAGACAACGTCTTTCCGATGGATCAATTGTGGACGTTTTTTTTCACCTGCTGCAATTGCATTAGTTGTTGTCAGTAAAAAGCATCACCTTCCTTGGCGTCAAAACAAGCTTCAGAAGCATCTGTGAAGCTTCTCTGGGCTTGGACCACAATCTTTTTTGCACAGTAGTGTCTTACATGATCCACTTTTCATCACTCGTAATCCTTCGTTTCAAAAATGGCTCGAGTTCATTTCGTTTGAGCAGCGATTCAGAAATGGAAACTCGGGCCATTAAATTGTTCTCTGTTGAGCTTTTTTTCGTATCCAGCCTTATGTAAATATTTCAAAACTGTTTTATAGTCAATTTTTAGCTTCATAGCTATGTCACAAAATAAACTATCAGTCTACCTCGATTTTTTAAAGAATTTCAACTTTTTCATCGATGGGCCGACAAGGGTAAGGTTCATTTCTAACATCGAAATTTATAGAACGAAAATGAGCAAACTTATTCGGATGCTGGCTTTCACTTAAGCTCTCATCACCATAAACACTACACTATTTTTAATGAGCCTGTGCTGCATTTTTTCCTTTTCAGAAATAAAAAAGCAAAATGTGACGAAAATGACCTTCTGGAATCTCCATTTTCAAAGCGCAATAACTTTTGACTGAGTAAATGAATGGCGCTACTTTTATATCTACAATGTTCTATGGACTGTTACTTTTCTATTGCGGTATGGTTTTATTGAATAAGTATAACTAGTAATATGCAACTTTAATGCGATCTATTGGGAAAACCGAAATTACTTTTTCCCTAACTCAATATGTATATATAGAACGCCAGTGCAAATAAATCTAGCGTATTTTATTACCATCATTTCTGAGCTTTATAGACCTTTGTCAACCAGTTAGAAAGTGCCGAAGCCACCTTAATCGACAACAATTCTCTTAATTGAATTTGATGTTTGTATTAAACTTAACATATAAAAGCTACTTATAAACGTATTGACACAGAGGTCTTGAAATACTTCAAAGAAACCGGAAAAATAGCCACATTCAAACTTGATTGCATTTACAATCCTAAAAAAAAAAAAAAAAAGTAACTTACGAATTTACAGAGTTGCAATGAAGAAGCTTGGCAAGGTGTGCAAAGATGCGAAATTAGGGAGCTGAACTGGAGCGAAACTAAAGTCCAAAGTAACTTAAGGCGAAAGGGAATTATTGCATGCCTCTTAGTTGACTCTATTTATCACTGGTCTTCGTGATATAAGTGCATTCTTCATGTTCCATGAAAGTAATTGGAGTATCAAAAAAACTAATTATTATATATATTATAAGCTATTCAAGAAAGTACCGGTACTTTTACGGTGCACAAATTTGTTAGTTTTATTTTTGTTATTACAAACGTTCCAATTGCAATCATTGTAAGTTATTAGAATTCGAGAAAAGAAGAATTTCTAATGTATAACTAGCATAGTATTTATATGTTCCTCCTTTCAAAAATAGTACAACAAACACTTTTTTGCTTTTTCTTGACAATGCATGTTATGTTTTTTCTGTATGATATTTAAATAATATGAAAAGTGATATCCTTAGTAAATATTTATAAGTTAGACAAAATGTTGGATGATAACGTGAATTAGCAAGCACCATTTTTTTTCTTAGTATAGTTACTTTTAGTAAAAAATACGAAATTTTTTTTACCTTGCACTTAACAAAATTTTAATAACTTAACAGCTCAGCCAGTTGTTCTTTCTTCAAGAAATTTTTGTATAAAATTGAAAGTTTATTATTTCCGTTAAAATTTTTTAACCGTTAAAAAATGCCTATTTAATAGTATTTTGAATTGTCATCTTATGTATTATTAAAATTAAATTCCAACTTTATTGGTAGTGTATTAAGCGATTACTATGAGAACAAAAACATTACCAAACTGCGCGTCACAATGGTTACAATAAGGAAACATCGCACTCCAATAGCTTGAGTTAATCTAAATTCTTTGTCGATAGTCACTAGCTTCTATGATACTTTGCTTACTTTGATAGAACCCTTGGTGGTAGGTTAATCTCTGTGTATGAAATTTCTTTCTGGCTGGCCTCCTGGGCATGGCAGGGTCGATTGCACTTGAGCCCATCCGATTAAAAATGTAGTAGCTAAGCCCATTTTAACGACCTTTTCTGCATGGCACTTAAGCCTAGATGATTGTTTCAGTTTAGACCGCTGAAATACAATATTATCCATTTCATAGATACTCGTTTTACATACATATGTGGAGCACGCGGTGGCTCGGTCGGCTGGTTTGTGGGATGGCACGCGGGAGACTGCGTGTTCATTTCCTGGCCAGTGTGACTCTCCCAAGCAAGTACCTCTGTGAATTTTCACATGTGCTTTTTCACCACGCAATGCTCCTCGTGAAGAAATGGGCGACCTTCTCGCAGCAAAAATTGCCTACCACATAGATCCTTCGCTCTCGAGGTGGTCTATGTGACATCATCAACGTGCCAATGAAGTACAACTGTTATCAATGCCTACCACATAGATCCTTCGCTCTCGAGGTGGTCTATGTGACATCATCAACGTACCAATAAAACTACAACTGTATAAATGTGAAAATGTAACCAATAATGTACCATGTAAACCATTTACTTTTAATATGCAAAAAATATAATTTAACAATGTGCCCTACTGTACCAAGGCTATATGAACTCGTTTACAATAAAGCTTAAAAATAAATACACCACGTTGGTAGGTATTTATTTAAAAAAAAAATTTTAATAAACGTATATATGTAAAAAATATATATTTACGCGCCTTAGACGAATCACAGAACGAATAAATTGACGACAGTCATAATTCGTGAGTAGGATAGGATAAATACTACAGTACACATTCGCAAACTCTGTACTGTGTTTATGCCAGCGACCAAATTACCGTTGTTTGTAAGTACGACCAGTTGCGTAGTGAGGTCCCATGAATAAATATTGTACTGTGTCTTATCGTTGATTGCAATGCTAAGTAGTAAAGGGAAGCCACTATTGGTATTCAATAAGTTTAAATTTAAAAAAGTACGCCTAGCTAAAATCAGATAAAACTTACTGGGGAAACACTTCTAAAAACATCGGGATCGCATAATCACGAGCCTGACAAATTAAAACGTATGAAACTACTTTCAATCACATTATCAAAAAGTGCAACGATCTTCAGTTAATATTTGATCCCTTGCGCATTGTCGTGAATTTAGAACTTTGTATACATAGTGCTGCTCGAAACGTGTGGCTCGCAGAGACTATAGAAGGATTCCGAGTTCACGTCATGCAATCCTAGAGAAGAAAAATCAAGACTCTGGGTAAATTGTGTACTAGAATAAATAATACCTGATATAGCACTAGCCACTTTAATTTTTAATAAATTTAATAATCTGCAGGTCTCTCGCCCCAGTACCGAGAAAAAGAATCAGAGACGAGATTTTGGCTACGTTGGGGTTTTGGTCTAACGTTTCTGAATCCACAGGAAGTCGAAGCAGGTTTTATTAATATTTTGATCACTCATGCTTTTGAAGAAGTAATTCAAGAGATTAATATTTTTATCATGCATTTAGCAGAAACATATTTAGAAGCATCCACGTTGTATCCACCAAAATTGTGGGCATCTACGATCAGAACTACAAAAAGAACTACAAATGCTAGCGAGTCATTTCACTCGCATTTCAACAACATGTTTTACAATGAAAATCCAAATGTTTTCCCGTTTTCCAATACTTTACTGGAGCTACAAGAAAAAAACATGATTAAAGTTTGGAATGCTGATCGTCTTCAACGTCGAACAGCTAGCGGGAGCGAGATTTTTTCCTATGCTCCATGAGCAATTAAGCTTTTTTCCGGAAATTTTGCACCTACATTATAAATTTTAGATATCATAGATTATATTTATACTGAAATTTCCCATGCTTTTAGCAAATAAGTAAGATCGTATAGTGCATTATTTTTGTCCCTCGATTTACATGA